TCTTGGATAAGACATTTAAGGAAATTTAAAAAAAATCGTCATTAAGGTAGATAATTACACATATATTTCGGTATAAGCGTATTCCAAAAATCTCTCCTAAATCAAAGATATTACGTTCAAAAATTGTTGCCAAAAATCTCTCGCTTTCCTTCTAAAATCTCTACCATTGGCTGTCATCCCAACTAATTACTCATAATTATCTTTCCTATATTTCTTTTTTTTTCGAGATTTGCAAGAAAATTACTCAATTCCAAAAATAAAAGATTTTGAAGATATTGTTACTTGATCAGCAAGATTTTAGGAGCTCACTCACCCAAAACCCTATAGTATTCTCAAAACATTATAAATATCTTTCATTAGTCTAATAAAAACTCACCAGTTTTACAGAAAATGAGAAATCGCAGACGTGATGCAATCTGTACGGACTCCGGGAAGAGCTAGGAGACAGTGGTGAACCGGGATCTAAACCTCGCCGACGATGTGAAGATGGTGACGAGGAGGAGATCGTAATTCTTTAGGTTTCGATTGGCAAAACAAGACGATCGGCGATCCAAAGCTCCACCGCCTGAAACGCAATATCGAATTGATCACACCGAATATCTTCAGATTTCGGATATGCTTTTCCGGTGGTAGCTTCAAAATACACGCCGAGAACTCCTTGATACGCTACACGGAGAGTAGATCCATGCGTTTTGCTGTAGCTTTGAAGAAACAAGGCTCAGATCGACGGAGCCGTTACTGTGACCGTTAACAACGGTGACTTCATCTGCTAAACCACCGATGATTGAGTTTGAACTTTCCGTTTCTAAGTTTTCCATTTTGGGTATATGAGAGAGTTGAATAAACACAATTTGGGCTCTGTAGGTCTTTACAAAATTGGTAGACATGATTCTTTGTTATTGGGTTCTAATACTCTATGTGTTTATTTTTTCATTATGTGAACTAATGAAAGTTGCATACTTAATTTTTTTTTATGGCAGTTCTAAACATATTATTTTTAATATTTGTGGTTATATAACCATATTAGGTTAGGTAGAAGACATGGATCATTAAAGGTTTGAAATAGTGATAGAATGATTTGGGAATTACGGATTAAATGACAAGGCCCGGTGCAAAACTGATGAATTCAGACCTTTAATTATCCGGATCAAGTTCAAAGCTTTAACCCCATGTCGTTTTATGGAAATTGCTTAAAGATAAGTAATGTTCTCAAATAAATTCAAATATCAAATCGTCATAAATACATTAAATACGTAAGATTTAAAATTATGGAGCAATCTTTTCTAATTAAATTCAAAAATTTATAATTGATATATGTAAATTTTTTGGCTTTTGTTTGCCCATTTAGCTATGGTTTTTGAGTTTTTATAAAATAGTTTTAAATATTACGGGACGAATTGTATGACACAGGTTTGGTTAGGATTGATATTAATATAAAATTAAAATATCACTAATATATCGCTATAACACATATTAAATCCTCATTTTATTATTTAAAATTTAGCATACGGTATACCGCGGGTAAAATCAGTATAAGACGGGTTAAATCAGCATCTTATTCAAAATCATACAATTGAATCTATTGTTTTTATACTACGTCTATCTATAAAATTTCAATTTTTGTAATAAAATTTCGTCTCACGGTGTATTATACATTTAAATTAAACAAAAAAAATAGTATATATCTATAGAGTATCTTAAAACAAAATTTAATAAATTTTTCTAATAAAAATATAGACCCGCGGTGTACCGCGGGTTAACATCTAGTTTTCTACATTTTGTGAACAATGAGCAGAGTTATGTTCCACATGTTTGTTGAAGAGTGTTGGAACTTGCGACAGGTTACAAGGGAAGCCTAGAAGAGAGAGATTTCTTGAGCTTTATTCAAAAATGTTCATCATTTAAAATGTTCATCAATCTTTCGTTTATCATGTGATATATGTTCCACAATATAAACTTGAGAAACGATCCAAGACTCCTTCTATTCCTTTATGGATTATAGTTTGTCATGTTGTCCAAGAATATATAAATCAATATGTATGATCAAATAAATAAAACAATTTAAGACTCCTGACGGCAAGCATTAGCTAGCCTTTGTTCATTGGTTCTGTTCATATCTATAAATTAAGTTTGCTGCCACAAAAAATAAAACAAATTAGAGTGTGACCATTTAATTAGTATGAAATTTTCTATTTTTAATTAGCTTATAAAATGGAAATATTAAAACTAATTTATATTACGGAGAAACCTAATTATCCCCTTTATACTAAAACTTATCATCCCCAACCTTTGACAATTGAAGTTTTCTAGGGTTTTTTTTCTTTCTCTTCTATATATTCCTCGGCTCTTCCTTGTATTCGTCTTGGTCAGTCAGAAAAAAACAAACCCGTCTCTTCTTCTAAGGCCCTTGTTGTTGTCGACGGTAACAGAATTTTGTGGTTTCCAAAGATATGGACAAGATCTGTGGGGTTTCCGAAGATGAATTGCTAGTAAAAATTCTATCGTTTCTTCCAACGAAAGTTGCTGTAAGCACAAGTGTTTTGTCTAAGCAATGGAAGTATCTTTGGAAGCGGGTGCTAAAACTTGAGTACGATGACACCGAGTGCAAAACTAAATCGTCTAAATCACGTAAGAGGTTCCGGCGTTTTGTTAAAAGAAATTTGCAAATAGATAGAGAGTCCAACTTAGAAAGCTTGTCTCTCAAGTTTAGTACTGCACCGTTTCAATGTGAAGATATCGAATCGTGGGTTAGATTCGCAGTTTCTCGCGGCGTACATCAGCTGAGTATTGCCTATTCTTCTGATAGAGTGCGTCGAGCCGTATTGCCGATTCACTTGTATACTTGCAAATCGCTGGTTTCCTTGAAACTCGAAGAGGATATTTCATTGTGTATTACAGAGTATATCCCTCGTACGGTTTGTCTTCCCTCTCTGAAAACTTTGCAACTTCAAAGTGTGAAGTACTCTTTATGTAATCAAGATCCTCTTAAACGATTTCTATCTAACTGCCCTGTTCTTGAGAATCTGACCTTGAAACACATTAATACTAAACGATGTTACAGCAAGCAAAAGTTTAGTGTCAGTGTCCCGTCTCTACAGAGTTTATCCCTTGAGATAGGTGATGTATCTAATTTCGATGGATATGAGATAGATACTCCTTCTTTGAGGTATTTAAAAATTAAGGATCATGATGATCGCCCCTCTTGTTCCATTGAAAACATGCCTAAGCTAGAGCAAGCGTATATCGATGTTGCATTCCCCAACGCCACAAAGCTACTCGAACCTATCGCATCCATCAAGCGTCTTTCATTATGCTTAAAGGTCAACAGTGTAGAGGTAATCAATATTTTTCCATTTGACTTCAACAGATATCATATTAGATGTATTAATTTATCTTTGGTTTTTAATCATATGTGCAGGATGTGTATACTGATGGAATTGTCTTCAATCAACTTGAACATCTCAAGCTATGCACATGCAACACATATTGGTCAAAATTACTTGTCCAATTGCTCGAAAATGCTCCTAAACTACAAGTCCTCGAGCTCTATGTCAATGTGAGTTTACTAAAAACTTCGACTATCTATTATTTTGTTTAATGCACAATGTTTTAATCCAACTCTACTTTTTTCTTATCTCAGGAACATTCACCTATTAGTAGGACTCCAATGGTTTACTGGAAGAATCAACTGAGTTGTGTTCCTCAATGTTTTGTGACGAGTCTGGAAACTTTTAAGTGGATAGGGTGTGAAGGAAGACAAGAAGAAATAGATGTGGTCGCATATATCCTGAACAATGCTCGTTGCTTAAAGACTGCAACAGTCTTAATTGGTCCTCAAAGGAAACAACAGATGATTAATGAGTTGTCACTTTCTTCCCTAGCTTCAACCACATGCAAGCTCACGTTTTAATTTGACTAGTTGAATGAATGATTTGATGAACAGGATTTGAAATTGCATTTACTCTCTCTATCTATTTTTATTCTCTCATTGGTTATTGATATTTGCTTTTTGGTTGTCAAACCTCAGATTTATTTAATTTTTTTTATTTATTAATGCAATTTTATACTCTCTTTCTTTCAAAATATAGGATGTTTTGCCTAAAAGTACAAAGTTTAAAAAACTAATTAATTATTTTAGTTTTTAGATATTTTACATTAAAACATAATTTAATAAATAGTTAAAGATAATTTGACCAATGATATGCTTTACTGCAGAATCTAAATAGTCACAAATTATACAAATTTAATTTTTTGCATAGAAACTTGAACGGTTACTCTTAAAAATCCTATATTGCGAAACAAAATAAAATGCGTAAAACATCCTATAATATGAAACAGAGGGAGTACTATTTAGTTACTTTTTATTGTTTCTTAATCTATATATAATAGCAATCTAATAAATATCATTTGCACATGTGAACGGTTGCGTCTTTTTATCGTAACTTTTTGTAAATATTTTTATTAATTAAAATATATATATTACGGTTATGTTTTTTTTTTTTATAAATTGCACTTCGGATGTTTTCTACGGTTGCGTTTTTTATTGTAACTCTTCATAAACAGTTGAAACCGCTTAGTCGAATCATTGCAATATTTAGTTTATTTTACGAACAATTGCAAACTTTGGTTTATATATTTAGTTTATTTCACGAACAAATGCAATTGTTGGTTTATTTTATAAATAGCTATAACATTTAATTATCTACCGCCGCGTCTCTTGGTGTAACTTTTCATAAATTATTATTTAAATTCTTAATTTTTAATTACTAAAATGTATTTAAATGAGATTGTAACTATTTAATTGAACTGTTTCAACATTTGGATTATTTGACGAATTATTGCAACTTTTGGTTTTGTGTTACGAACCATTGTTATCTTTAGTATATTTGATGAACTATTGCAACATTTGGTATAATTGACGAACCGTTGCAGTTTTTGGAATATTTGATATTTACGGTTGCGTTTCTTGGATAAGTTCGTCATATTTTTAAAAAATATTTAAATACTAAAATATATTTAAATGAATTGTTGTTGCCGTTTAATTTAACACAATAGCATTTGGTTTATTTGACGTTGAACGTTTAGGCTTATTTATCAAACCATTGTAATATTTAGTTTATAAGTTGATGCTTTTTGCACTTGGGAATAGTTTTTTAGTTACAAATTATTGTTTTTCTAATATTAATATACTAAATAAATGTTTGTGAGGGTTTTCTTTATCATAATTTTTGTAGAATATATATTGATTTGTTATTAAAAAAATTCAAAATTATTACAATTCATTATTATTTTTTCGTTTGATATTTTTTTAAATGATTTTTGAAATATATTCCCCCGGGACATCGCGGGGGTCCTGAATCCTAGTTCTTATAAAAGGTGTAGTTATTATTAGTACCAAAATATAAGATATGCTAGCTATAAAATAATTGGAAAAGAAAAGTTTGAAATTGATTGCCAACCAAAAAATAAAGGGAGACTCACAAAAATGCCCCTTTTTCAATACCCCTTTTCAAAATGCCCCCTTTGGCTGTCCATTTTTAAAAATACCCCTTTTTATGTACAAAATGACTAAATTACCCTTCTTTTAATAAAAGATATCACAAATATATAAGGAAATATAACAAAATTAGGTCCACAAAATACAAAATATTTTTTGGCGCGAAAGTATCCCTCATTTTTCCCGCC